GGACTTAAATGTTGACTTAACATCTGTCCTCTCAACCCTAATGCAAATAGGGCTAAAAAACTTTGTACCATGATGGAAATGTAACTCCTGGCTGTATCTGTAAATGTTCCCGACTGCTTGGAGGCTTCTTACATCAAGATGCACAACAGGGAGGTCCATAACTATGGAGTTTTATTGATCAAGTACGTACTGTGGTAATGGTTCTGCGTACTGCATGAACATTCCTACAGCACTGGATAATCTTCCACTGTCTTGTTCCCACACGCCTTGGACTGAAAGGAGAAAATTAGGCTTTTTTTCTTTGATTGTTTCAAAGGTCTGATCATCAGTCTGGAAAGGATGTTATGTTACTTTGTCCTTTATTCACTATAAGACTTGTACAGTGTCATAAAAACATGTTTCTTATGTTCCCAGCTATTGAAAAATAACTATAAACTACTGACAATACCCTAGTCATATCCTGAGCTATTTTGAACTGGTATAATCTGACCAATAGTTTTGATAAATGCAATGGATAAATCTTTTTTTAATTTCTTCTTCAAAAAACATACTGATCAGCAAGGTTATTTTAAAAAGCTATGTGTCTTTTGAGCCATTGGAATAATGGAGGTCTTTTCTTTCTGCATTAAAAATTTTATATATATATAATCTCATTTGAAGATTGACAGTCATGGAAAGAAAAAGTATAAGATTTGCATGTATTTTGTGACTTCTAAAGTACAGTTCATTTGACATCCTTATCATGGATTGAATGAAAAATAGAGATAAGAGGGTCTCAAAGATGAGACTACTACATCTGTTTAGTGTGCAGGTTTAGGAGGGGGTAGAGAATATATAATCCTGCATTTTTACCCTGATATCATAGTCATCTGGAATAGAATACACAGTCCAGTACAATAGAAGTAAACATTTTTCTCCATCACTAATTCACAGAGAACTGACCCTAGATCTGAGGTGGGGAACCTTTTTTGGCTTGGGGATTACTGACTCTCAGAAGAATCAGTTGGGGGCTGCATACAAGTGAGAAGTAAGGAAGAAAACCTCACTGATGTGGCCCCCAAGCGAGGAGAAAAACACTCCCACGTTCCTCTCACACGCCATAGCCTAGCAGAGCCCGACTTAATAGATCATGCGTGCTCCAGCTTTGCAGTAGGGCAGCTGGGGGCTGGAGTGCCAAAACTGGCCTGAGCCTCAGGGGCTGGATCTGGCCCCCGGGCCTGAGATTCTCCACGCCTGCTCTAGATGGACAAGCTTCAGAAAATACTGAAAACTTACGGGAAAAAAATCAAGGATTTCAGTGCATGGCCAGATTTGTTTGTGTGACTGTGGAACTCTCTGCTCTGGCATGCTAAGGATGCATCTGGAAAAGTTACCAGGACTGTTCTATTGCAATAAAGTTTTTAGTTCTGTTGCTCAAGTGCATATTTCTGTTGTTTTGAGTCTCCCAACCCTCTCTTCAATTAGGAGACCAAATACACATTCAGTAAAATATTCTGTATTAATGTTCCATAGGGTTCACATCTCTCTAAAGTATACATTTTCCAAATCTCTGTAGTAACAAGACACAAAACGGGTAAAGCACAACTTGCTATTAAAGAGATTATCTGAGCTAGCTAATTGTTAGGCTTGTTAGTCAACATTTTAAATAACCAGCAATTAGACATGGAATTAATGTTCAGAGGAGGTTAAAATCTAGATGTAAAACTCTAAGACTAAACAAGCCCTGAGAAATGGGTACATAGGAATGGTCATACTGGGTCAGACGAAAGGTCCATCTAGCCCAGTAGTCTGTCTGCCGACAGTGACCAGCACCAGGTGCCCTGGAGGGGGTGGACCTAAGACAATGATTAGGCGATTTGTCTCCTGCCATCCTTCTCCAGCCTCTGACAAACAGAGGCCAGGGACACTATTTCTATCCCCTGGCTAATAGCTTTTTATGGACCTAACCTCCATGAAATTATCTAGCTTCTCTTTAAACTCTGTTATAGTCCTAGCCTTCACAGCCTCCTCTGGCAAGGAGTTCCACAGGTTGACTACACCGCTGTGCGAAGAAGAACTTTATTTTATTAGTTTTAAACCTTATGTTGACACGTCACATAACAGAAGACGTTGGAGAAAACAGGTCACTAAGAAACTGCTACAGCTGCAGACTTTGGTTTTGCCAACCCAAAGCAGTCAAAAACCATGAGTCAGACCTTTCAAAATCATTTTTATTAACAATTTAAGGTTTCCTTTGTCTGTCTTCTGGTTTCTGAGTGTTTTGGGTGCTCTTAGGTTAGGTTTTCAAGCTTTCCTCTGCAAGCAGGAAGACTGGAAACTTACTGTTTTGTGGCTTTTTTTAAAGAAGGCAAAGGTTCTCACCATCACGACAGCAGGAGTCGGGACTTCAACCCTATCCCCCAAATACGATGAGTTGACAACACAGATCAGAAGCCATGAAGGATCACTAGTGTACAGCAAAACAAAAACAAAATTGTTGCAAAATGTGTGTGGGGAGGGTTATGCCTTACATAATCTATTATATAGAAAATGTTGATACGCCACAAACCTAGCATAAAGGAAGCAAAATTACCCCCCATCATACTGTATGTATAGTTGGGGTTATTTTTTCCAATGTGCATTATGTACAGAGTAGAGTTTTCAACCAGGTTTTAAAAGTGCCAGGATAAAATCTTAAGATGTGAGTCCAAGGTACATACTAGTTTAAATTAATTGACTGACTGAAAATGAACAAAACATTGTGGAAATGACTTGATTCATCCAGACAAGTTGTTAAAATGTCTTCAGGACATTGGATTAGCAGTAGAAAGTGGATTCTTAGAAGTGTCAGAGGAGCAACATTCCTGTTGGGGTAAACTGACCTCTAGAATTATTTGGCCAATGTAGTCTACCTGATTTCACAGAAAAGAGAGTCTTTCTCCCTAGACTTATTTTTCTCCTTCTTCCCCTCTGTTCTCTATTTTTAAATGTAACGGATTCTGATTGAGAGGGCGTGCTTTCTCTCATTCAGAACATTCCTGTTCTTTCAGAGTACAGGTTTGTTACTTATTTTACCCAGGATTTACACCACAATCTGTCATAAACAAGCTTGAGAAGTTCACAAGACAGTAATTGCTACCACACCAGGAACGTAAGTAACATAGGTCTATTCATCAGTTGGATTTACACCATCTCAAGATCTGTCCCTTAGAGTTAGTTCATTGTTAGTGGTTCCAAGGCTACAGATAACTGTCTCAGCCTAATGCTTCTAAATGTGTCAGGCTACTACTGTCGTTTTGTTTTGTTAGGCTATGACTTAATCAATATTTTTTTATCCATTTATGTACAAAAAACTGACATGATTATAAGATGCAGTGGTACCTGCATGATAGTTAAACTGATTCCTGTAATAAACAAGCGCTCTAAACATTTCTCTGTAGTTGACAGAACTGTTTAGAAATGGAGTGCTCATTTGCAGAATTCCTTTTCATAGTTCATCTTAGGCAAACAGCAAGAAATACATCTGAATAAACCAGTTGGATATAGTTGGCTTACTAAGTCTTTTAGTGCTTACATGACAGAGAAGATTGCCTTCCTCTGGAGTTTATAGCAGCCTAAGGGTACATCTATACTGTACGCTTATTTTGAAATAAGCTATTCTGGAGTAGTTATTCTGAAATAACTTATTTTGTAATAACACGTCTACACTGCAGGGAAGCCTCAACATTAGTCTGAGGCAGGCTTCCCTAATGTAGACGTGCTATCTTGATTTAGAGCCCTAGGAGGCACTGGGAAGGAATAATGGCCCTGGTGAGGGGCTATTTCAAAATAGCAGGCGTGGAGCATCTACCCAAGCCTTGTTTAGAAAAAGGCGTTATTCCTCTTAGAATGAGGCTTACAGATTTTTGAATAAATCATCCGTTATTTCAAAACTATTTTGAAATAACAGAATGACACCGTAGACACTTGTATTGTTATTTCGAAATAATGGTACAGTGTACCCTAAGACTCAAATCCTAAAATCTAATCTATGTGGGTAGAAGCACTTAGCCAGCAAAAGAAGCCACCATAACTTGTCAGTGGGGTATTGTGCAGATATTAGAGTCCACCCATGGAGGTGAGGTTGCAAGACTGTGGCTTAGAGAGAGGCTCACACTTCTTATCATGTTGTGTATATTTTTTGGTGAAAGATAAATTGTCAGTACTCCAATCAACATAGATCCACAAAGCTTTTTATGGCTGTACAGTGGCATTTAATTAAACACTTACTTTTAGTAAAACAGAAATTGAGTTTACACATTGCCTGTTAGATGACTCTTGGTTTCTTGGTGTCTCTGATCTAACAGAGGCTTTAAACTTACAACCCAGAACAGATACTGTATACAGTATAATGGATTGTGACTTTTGCTGGTTAAAATAGAGGCACTGACTAATTGTCCTGAATAGCAATCTGTTATGAAATAGGGAACACCTCCATTCTTTATCCTTGAGTGCTTGGTCCCAAAACAGGGAGGAGAGAAATAAAATTATACAGGTTGCACTTCTAAAATCTGGGATTCTCTGGTCTGGCAACCTCCAGGTCCAGGAGCTAGTGCGCAGCTCAATTGGGCTTCGAGGGGGGAGCCGGGAGCTGGCACGTGTCTCAGGCTTCAAGAGGGGCCAGGAGCCAGCGTGTGGCTCATCTGGGCTGCAAAGGGAGCCAGAAAGCTCAGTGGTGGGACCAGCAGCAGGGAGCCTGAAATCAAATCTCCTGGTCTAGGAAAAATCCCTCATCTGGGACTAGTCAGGTCCTGAGAGTTGTGGACCAAGGAGGTCCAATTTGTATTTTAAAGTCTTTCTGTTCCTGGGGTATTTTTTCTTTTTAAGTCAAATATACTGAAATTTGCAGTCCAGGTGTGAAACCATTCATTTCTGTCTCTTGCTGCTTCCAGATCCCACTTTAAAAAACGTCCCATCCTCTGGTGAGTGAAATAAGGGTCCTCTGACCCACGCAAATCTGGTAGGGACAGGATAAATCCAACTCTGGTGAGTGAAATAAGGGTCCTCTGGTCCACGCAACTCTGGTAGGGTCAGGATAAATCCAGTTCTCATGTCCATTCTATTACAATGTTGATCTTGATACTGAAATAGTTCTCATTTTACACATGCCTTGATAAAAGAAGAAACTTGATTAGATTTGCTGTTTAATTCCTTAATTGGTTTTTTAATTCATTTTTGCCTGCAGCTTGATTTTTGTTTCCCCACATGTGTAACACTTTTGATTAGCTGACCAAAGTTTTTTGTATCCAAATTTGGTAGCCTTTTATAAGGGTCACCCTATTTTGTGAATGCACAGCTGCCAGCCTCCTTTCCCAGATAACTTGAAACCAGACTCTTGTGTTAGTTGGCATAATACTAAACTGAGCCTTAGAGTTTCGCCTAGAGTTGATAAAGATCTTGTATATTTTTCCACCATGTTTTGTGAAGTTCCAAAGTAGTTACTCACAGCACTGACACCCTGTTATAAGTCTTAACCTCTCCTAACCAAAAAGACACCCTCCTCCTTCCAAAAAAAATCTTGCCCCAGTCAGAATGTTGACCCTGAAAAGAGAAAAACTCAATGAAATCCCAGGGGGAACTTCATATAAAATCAATAGAAATACAGAATGCTATAGATGGGCTGCAGTATAAATTGCTCAGATAGTATATTAGGCCAAATCATCCAAAGATATATTAACATGCCTAACTTACTCTCAATGAGCAATTTTCCATAAGTACCTGTGGTAGGCCCTAATCCTGCAGACATTTAGTGCTTACGTTGCTTGGGGGGCATTTTTTGTATGTTTAAAATCCTGACAAAATCCTTCAGTAATCTGATGCTTTACAACTGTATCCAAGACATTGCCTGGATGAGAAAATGTTTTTAATGAGATTTAATACAGTAATTTTTTCTTAGTGAGTTTAGGGTTGCCGAGTGTCCGGGATTTTCACCTCCTGTCCGGTAAAAAATTTCAGAAAATACTGGACATCTAAAATATCCTAAGTATCTTCTGATTTTTTTTCCCTGCTACGAGGCGAAAATACCAGACACCTGGCAACCCTACATGCACTCAGTAACCAGGCCCAGTCCCCAAGCCACCTGGACCTCCCCGCTTACCTAGTTCTGCAGGGAAGCTGTCTTCTGGCTTGATGAGGAAAACAAGATGGCTGCTGGCGAAAAGCTTCCAAGGCTTTTCTTAAAGGGGCCATGCTGTCTTATTTTTATTTATAAAAACTTGAAAGCTTAACTCTCGGGTCCTTTTTTTCCCCCCTCAACAGAATTTTTCCCTGGTGTTTTTTTTGGGTGGGGGGGTTGGTATTTTTAGTTAACTTTTTCCCTGGTGTTTTTTTTGGGGGGGGGGTTGGTATTTTTAGTTAACCCATCTGGCAATCCTAGAGTTCTGCTGTAGTTAGGGGTGGAATGTTTTTGAGAGAGACTGGGACCTTTCAGTATGGGTCTATACTAACTCGTAATGACTTAGGACCATATTCTGATATCGTCTTGCCTTCAGCAGTATCTAGAATCTCAAGAACGCCTGTTTATTTTACTGTGATTATCTGAGTGAAGTGTTACTTTATGTATTTAAGGGTATCCGAATCCATCTCTTCACCTACATGTGCTTCAATGTGCTTGCATACAAAATGGAGGGGATGGTGAATAACTTGGTACTCCTGTAGGTGTAGTGAAGCATAACTCTGGGTTCTTGAAGTACTTTCTGATGCTCAGATGAAAGATGCTCTAGAAAAGCATTGTTATAACACAAAACATGAGCCAAAGATATTTGGGGCCAAATTGATTAAAAATTTCAAGAGGTTCCTGAACTGTGCCCCTGAAATATGTTCATTGGGATTAAAACATCTTTTTGTGTTCACACAATGCTTAATCACAAGAATAATGTGCTGGCAACTTCTTATGACTGTGACTATCTTATACTTTGTTTAAAAGTTCTTGAACTAGCATAATGAGTATTTTGCAGGTACTTAGAAGCACTTGACCTTTGGCCTACGGTCTAACAAAGCTTTCAAGTTTTGCTTTTATTGCAGTGTGATACATGCACTGGCATGCATTTTTGCTTACTTAGTGAGTCCCTTTTTTCCACTGCCAAATGACTGGTGTAAGTGGTGTACAGTGATGAGAGGTGCAGTTCATTTTGCAGATGAATGTGTTGCAATTGTTCAGAATTTTTGTCACCCACAATGTTCATTGACAATAGTTTTTTGCTTTCATGAATTTTAAAGTGATATTGAATTGAATGATGCTTTGAAGTTATGTTCTTATTAATTGCTAGAATATATATTTAAAAAGTTGATTTAGTCCTTTTACCACTTGGTAAAGTTAAAGAGTTTAATTATAGCTACAACTTGATTTATAAAACTCAACCATGACACTGAAATAGGAAGAACAATATATTGGGATAATATGCTACAGTCCTTTATGTTAAGATCATTCCTCGTGTTACACTTCGGCTATGTCTAGACTGCACTCTAAAATTGAAAAAGATATGCAAGTTGTGCTATGCAAATTGCGTATCTTTTTTCAATTTGATTTTGAAAGAGGCTATTTCAAAATTTGGCATGTCTACACAGTGCCAAATATCAAAATTAAGTGCTTTTTCAAGCCATCCCTTTTTCCTCGTAGAATGAGGTTTACAGGGATGGCAAAAGAGCGCATCCGTTGTTTTGAAAAAAAATTCTAAATAGTGGACACATTGCTTGGACGAGTAGTTGCTATTTTGGGATACTTCTGGTATCCCGAAATAGCAATGCAGTCTAGACGTAACCTTAGAGTGCATCTGTTAGGAAAGATTTTATATCCCATTACTCACATTTAAAGTACACGGGCCAGTTAATTTTATAGAGACTGAAAGATTTAAAAAGTCTGAGTAGACTGAATTTAAAGGATATAGGTAGCAAGAACAATCATGTAACTTGGAAGCCTGTTTGGATTATTCCGTTTTTATATTATAGGGATGGTACAAATTCATCCATGAGAGACTGAAAGATTTAAAAAGTCTGAGCAGACTGAATTTAAAAGATATAGGTAGCAAGAACAATCATGCAACTTGGAAGCCTGTTTGGATTATTCTGTTTTTATATTATAGGGATGGCACAAATTCATCCTTAGATGCAAATTCTAGAATTAACTAATACAGATTTTACAGTTACACAGATAAAAATAATTACATTATCAGCTTCGTTTTTGTCACTGTGGAGTAAGCGTTAACCTATTCAAAACAGAAAATACAGTATTTTTCTTTTCAAAAACTTTAATTTCAAAACAATAAGAAGACACGAAGGAAAAGTAGGTCGTAATCAGAAAATAATTGGAGGGTGGTTGTGGGTAAGTTTTTTGTTAAAATTGCATGTTGTGTAGTGAATCTTTGATATCAAAAAGTTTATCTGGTTTTTATACAAAATAGAAAAGTTTCAGAATTCTGTGGCCTTTACAAGGCCTTTTGAAGTGACTGTACAGGGTAAATGGTAAGTGGAAAAGTAGCACTGAAATCCAGCTTTAGCTGAGAAAAATAGGTTCTCTATTTTAATTTCAGGTACTTTACAGGCAAAATTGAATTATCTTAACCACTACAAATAATTTATCATGGGAGTTAGATGCTTTCTTCCCTGTCATGTTATCTGATCTAATGGTTCTTACTTAATTTATGACAGAAATACTGTGGAATAAGGTAAATGTCAACTATAATGATGCTGTTTGTCATGATGGAAAACAGTGAGGGAGAAATTATGTTTAATGCATCAAAGCAGCAAATTTCAAGTAGGTTACCCTAGCTAAAGTCAAACTATTTTTCAGAGGGAACCGTGAGGGGGTTCTCATTACTAAAAAAACCCACAGATTTTAAAATATGCAATAATAAAGAACTGATTATAGGCAATATGTTTTAAAAGCACATTGCTTCTTTCATTTAAGTGGGAAAACACTTTATCATTTTCTAACTTTTAGCGATACTTGTAATAACCAATCAACCAACGCCAGAAAAGAGAATTATTTTTTCTTTTTTTATGAACAGAGCAACAGAGGTCACAGTATAAAAACCCCATATATGGGAAGCAGCTGCATTTATCAGTTTCCTTTTCCCTTATATGCCTTATTCTGATCCTAATTTCTTTGATTCTGGATTTCCAGGTGGCTGAAAGAACCCTCTAGAGATCACTATAACACCACAGTAAGTAGGGAGAATATGAGCAATGCTATACCATATTGCAAAGAAATACAGAAAGGGCACAGGCTTCAGACTTGTGTTTTAAAACTTTATTAAAACTGCTGCATATACACGTCGGGGGCATGTCTATACGTACCAGAAGATCGACACTCCAGAGGTCAATAGTGTTTGATTTAGCAGGTCTAGACCCATAAATCAAAAGCTAAGGGCAGTACACTCCAGCGTCTGGTATTCCTCCTCCTGCAATGAGTAAGGGAAGCCAATGGGAGCATTTGCTGCCATCGGCCTCTGGCTATGTGGATGCTGCCATGGCTTGGTTTAAGGTAAGTTGACTCCAGCTACACAATTAGTGTAGCTAGAGTTGCATACCATAAGCCGACCTTTCTGATCTAGTCTAGATTATGACTGGGAGTTCTGGTATTAATTTTCATCTTGGAGGATAAAAGTTTAATTGGCTCACATTCTTTCTTGGTTCTGTAGCTTTGCAGCTGCGAAAGTAGAGTGGTGTAGAGTGCTCATTCAAGTCCATTAGGAAGGGCAAAGTTTTGTGGGTAGTCAGTAGAATGGAATTAATTTAGATGTTGGTTCTTTTTCTGGATTTATCCCTCACATGTGTCACCTTGGGCAAGTTACTTCACTTTGTGCCTTTCCCTTCTCACCCTTTGTTTGTCTTGTTTATTTAGACTGTACTAGGAATTGTTTTACCATGTGTTTTGTATGGTACCTAGCACAGTTCTAACATTTGAGACTGCTATGTGCTACTCTAATACTACACAACTAATAGTGGTGGGAAAACTTGTACAACTTCTGCAGTTGCTATTAGTCTTTTGCTTTCATAAACATCAAATTCTCATATTTGATTTTATTCTATAAGAAAATAACACTCTTCCTTATTATATGCCACTTCTCCAAGAGCAAAAATAAATTATGCAGTTGAGGAGTGGGGAAAAACTATTTTTCTTTTTTTAAATCAGCCATACACTTAGTAGTTTGTTGTTTGTTGTTTGTTTGGTTTGGGTCCCCTGAGAGCCAGTCTGATAACTATGGCAGACAGTGGAAGAAGTAAAAAGAATTCATTCTGTTTCTTCGATTTTCAATTGATTAGGGTGTGGAGTTTCTGGCTTAATTCCTTCTGACTGACTTTTCTGATTTCTTCCTCCTCCCACCCCCAATCTCCACAGTCCTGGCTGATACTGTAACTGCTCCCTGTCTTTCTCTTTTCTCAGCAACTATAAGGGAGGCAGCATCAGGTTAGAAAAATGATTGAGAAGTTTGTTTCCTCTTGCCCATTCCTTCTCACCTCAAACCTTCTTCCCCTCCCCACATTTGTCTCTTCAGTTATGTGCCGCTAAAGGGCCACATCAAGAACAGCTCAGAACAGGATGTAGTACCCTGACTCCACTCTGCTGTAACCTTTTATGTTCCCATTGCCAGTGCTTCAGCATCTTCTCCTGAGCCATTTTACATTTTCCCTCCTTCACCAGCTGGTAAACAAGGTCCACTTCACTTGCCTTTCTCCAAAGTGTGGAACACAGATCCCTTCACCGAACACTGGTAGGAAAGTTCCATTATTGCGTCAACATAAAAGGTCATGGCTTTGTAAAAGGGGCTAGGACAAGACCTTAGTTCTTGCCTAACTAGAAGGCAACAATCCTGGATCCTCCATATACATGGAGGATGGCCTTTCAGGGCTATTGTTATGTGGAGGCAAAGGGGAATGCTGCCTCTCTGTTGCCTACAGGCATTTTGACCTAAAGACCTGTGAAGATACTTCTGGTGTTCATTCAGCATGACAATGCATAATTTAGGAGCCTAAAAGCCTCAGGGAGGCAGCTGAGTTAGTCTGTAACTTAAAAAAAACTTAAAACAACAATTGTCCTGGAGCACCTATGTTTCATTGAAAGTCCATGTGACACAGGCTCCTAAGTCAACGAATAGTCTAGAACAGGGGTGTCCAAACTTTTTTCAAAGAGGGCCGACCATTTTGCCTGACATTCTTTGAACCATTAAAATTAAACGCAAATTAACTATTTTATGCAAAGTTTATTGCAAATGGCATACTTTTCATTTCATCACATGGATGACAAATCTAAACAGGTGTTAAATCACTCTGCCTTTCATATCTGAAGGCCAGATGAAAAAAAAATCCAGGAAGCTGAAATATATGTCAGGAACATTGTAAAGTACATTACATATTATTGGTAATAAAGGTTGTCTGTCAACTTTTAAGTTCAAAAAATATGAACAGGAACATAACACCAAGTATACATGTTGTGTCCAAATATATTTATAACTGATTTAGACCAACTGACATTAACTGAGATTTTACAATGTATTCATCTCAATACATATGGATTCGTTGGGGGCCATAAAAGATAGATATTGCCAAATTACCTGGGGGGGCCGTATTAAACCGGAACACGGGCCGCAATTGGCCCGCGGGCCAGACTTTGGACATGCCTGGTCTAGAAGCACCTGTCTTTAAGGTGCTGCTAGACTATTAGTTCTTTTTAAAAAAAAAAAAATTCAGTTACAGCTACCCCTCTGAAGTTCCTAAGTCAGTTAAGTATTGAAATGCTGAGCAGTGCAATGACTAAAATACCTTTTAAAAATCTGCAGGTCAGAGACAGGGAGGGAGAGGAGTGAACCACGTGGAAGCAATGGTGGAGAAAGGTGACCTTTGTACAATGGACCGTTAAGGAAAATTTGAAAGGAGAAGAAGCTAATCTCTAACACCTAAGGGAGTGTCAGAGGTGGAGACGTTCCAGAGGGGGGTAAAGTGAGGGGAGGAAGAGTCTAGGTGGTAAGGAAGTGGGAGGCAGCATAAGCTTTGGGTCTGCCTCACCCCACTCACTGGCTGAGTGTATATCAAATAACAAGCTGCTCTATAGAAAACAGGGAGGTAACATACTCAACCCACATCCAGAGAAAGGAGGAGTAAGAATCACAATGCATTCTCTAGACTGCTCCTGAGGTAGTACCACTCCTTACTTGACTCAGATGCTAAAGATATTTAGCCCCATATATCTGCTTTCATATCCTTGTATCTTACCAAAGTGGCCCCTGGGTCTCTAAAGTGTGGCGTGATGAAGGTACACTGCTCCCTCGGAGCAGGTTGCTTACCCTAAATGTCCCCTCTGCCAGCAAAATATACAATTCAACAACAGACCTCACTGCTGGGATTTTTCTGTTCTGATCCGGCCCAGGGAGCTCTTGCTGGCAGCAGACTCTGGCAGTACTCTTCAGAAGCTCACAAGTTGATAAGTGCAGTGTATACACGGATGGTTCAGGCAACTTGGAGATCTATGACACTGGAGCTTAAAGGGAAACAAAATAAATCTACTTCAGCAGCAGGCTCACTAATTCACTCTGATAACACTGGTTGCTTTAAGGGTTGATTTTATTCCATAATCACTTTCCAGGTTCACTGAGGCTAAAGGATGAGGCATAAGCTCTCAAGTAAACTCAATAAGAATGCATTTGAAAAAGCAAAATGCTTTGCAATTTTTTTGCTTTGCCTCTGCCACTTCTTTTCACAGAATACCAGGTAAAATAATATGACCTAGTATGTTCATGATAAGTTGTTAGAGGTAACATATATATATTCTGAATGAAACTTAGTAAAACATTTAATCTCCATTTTGTATTCACTTGCATAAACATCAAAGGAAACCTCTACTCATTCATACACATTCACACTTCTGGGTTACTGGGGGCAGGGTGACTTGGGAGATTGACAATGGGATATAATACTTAGTATTTTCTATTCTCAGTGCATTTTACAAATGAATTAATTTGTCCTCATATCTCTTAAGACAGTGATTCTCAACTAGATGGTGGAGCCCTCTCAGGGCTGCAAGCAGGTTTCAGGGGGCTGCCAAGCAGACCAGCATTAGACTCACTGGGGGGCCTGGATAGAAAGCTGAATCCCTGCCGCATGGGGCTGAGGCCCTTGGCCCAGAGCCCGGCAACCAACAGTTGAAGCCTGAGCAGTATAGCTTCACAGGAGCCCCTGTAGCATACGGCCCCAGGCAGTTTCCCTGCTTGCTGCCCCCTCAGGCTGGCCCTGACTTTTATATGCAGAAAATCAGTTATTGTGGTCACACGTGCATCATGGAGTTTTTATAACATGTTGAGGTTGTGGGGCTTAGAAAGAAAAAGATTGGGGAAACACTCTGAGGAAAAGCAAATAGTCCCTTTGTACAGGTAGATGACAGAGGCACAGAGAAGTTACTTGTTTTGTTGAAAGACATAGTCAGTGTCTGAGTCACTGTTAGAGTGCAGAAACTCCTACCTCCTATTCCTTTGGCTATTAACCCTAACTTCTCTCTCACAAGGCCTGTTGCCTTGAAGTCAGTTCTGGATTGAAGTTCATAATTTTAAAAAAGTTTAGTGGTCTCTAAAATCTATTAGTTAAATGAACAAATGTTTCCTTAACTAAAACCCTCCCAGTTGGAGCCCTTGTTTGAAGCATTACCACATAGACCAAAGACTAATGGACTGGTATGAAAAGTAAACTAATCTCAGATTTAGCAGTTTTTCCTTTAAGACAGGGTGCAGAGACATTGGCAGAGAAATGTGTGATTGTGGCATTATATTCTATAGATGGAGAACTTCATTTCCAGTACTGTCAATCAAAATCTTTTGTAAGCACTATAGTAATCTTAAACAAGGGGAAACGAGGGGATTTTCCGATCAATCCTGATGTAAAGCCTGTAAGACTTGGAAAATTCTATGGTGTGAAGATTAATACACTGTTCAGTTAATTATATTGCAGTAACTTGAAGCTTTTCATATTTAATTTTACTGTCAAGAAAAGTTTGGCTGGATAGTCTTCAGTTCAACAGGATTTCAAATTATTTGACCTCTTAAATCCACTTATGAATTAAGTTTAAATATTGTACCAACTAAGTAGTATATTTCAGAGGAATTACTCTCTAGTGCCTGTCATTTAAATTAGGAGTTAGGATTCAATCCCAAAATGGGATCTGCATAGGCAGAATCCTGTACTTGCCTGGAGCTCCATTGAAATGCTCCATTGAATTGCTTATGTCTACCCAATTGCAGATTTTTTACCTATAGTATGTGAGGCGTGTAACCTAACATTACTGTATTATGACAAATCCTTTTGGGTATGTCTACACTACCCCGCTAGTTCGAACTAGCGGGGTAATGTAGGCATAGCGCACTTGCAAATGAAGCCCGGGAAATTCAAATCCCGGGCTTCATTTGCAAGTGCGGTATGCCTACATTACCCCGCTAGTTCGAACTAGCGGGGTAATGTAGGCATAGCGCACTTGCAAATGAAGCCCGGGAAATTCAAATCCCGGGCTTCATTTGCAAGTGCGGTATGCCTACATTACCCCGCTAGTTCGAACTAGCGGGGTAGTGTAGACATACCCTTACAATGTTGGACAAAAAGGAAAACAGGCTCATTTTACTGTGTAGTCAGAGAAATATGAACACTTTCAAAATTACTTGTTAATTTTTCCTGTCAGGTATTTCAATTTAAAAGATTTTCTAGGAATCCAAAAAGAAGAAGCTGTAGAGGAAAAACAGAAACAAATGATATTGAAAGTCTAGAAACAGAAGCCAATCTTTAACAGTCATTGGTGGGTCCTTCTGGCAATTGTCCAATGTTCCGATGGCATCAATAACCATTTGGATATGACTGTAATGCATTTGTGACTGATAGTTCCTTTTCAGCATTGACCAGATCTTATCAATTCTGCTCCATAATGTGAGACAATTGCACCATTCTTTGAAAGAAACAGGAGTAAATTCTGAATTTTGATATAAAGGAAAGGGTATTTTTCAAAGCCAGTGGAATGTTGAAATTCATTGTTACAGAAGGTAACTGAATTAAATACAGTCATCAGTTTTTAAGGGATAACTTCATGACTGTTAAGATTTGTAACTATGCAAGCTATTTTCTTAAAGGCTAACTGAATATCAAGCTGATGACTTGTTCAGGTCAGGAAGATATATCTCCTGCTTCCCTCTGCCGCTGAATACAGCACAGCTACAGTTGGCTAGGCACATCATGTTTTTGCCTTCCTCCAAAGCATTATGTCCTGGACCCTGCCAGAAGGTGTATGTAAGAGAAAATGGACCAAGGCGCTGAATCTTATGTTCTAGTTGTGTGCAGTATATTAACAAATAATATGAAATATAAAATCTGCTTCAGAAATAACATGTTTATATTAGTCCTCATTTATGCAAATGTTAATGTTTACAATGTAATTCAAAACTTTCATCGTAATGTTGTAGTATTCTAATGCCCTAACATGCGAGCCAACAGAGGTGCTATGTTTAGGTCTTCAGTCACTACAAAACCCTGCAAGAGCTCTCAATTAAGCAAATATTACACCACACCGTAAGTGCATGGTAGTCAGATAGATCCTACTTGTCTAACTATAGTTAGATGCCCTTGTGCTTACATGGGGCCCCATTGACTCCAGTGGGTTCTGATGCAGGCATAGGGGTCTAGATGCTTAGAGCAATTTACCAGACTTCAGATTTTTGGAAGGTTTTACATTTAAAAAAAACAAAACAAAAGCAACTCACTTACTGGCTTAAGGGACATGGTTGGAAAAATTTATGAAGTTTGCCTCTGATGCTTTGTCTACAATAGATTTGACAAAACTTTCTTAATCCCCTCTTTGTTCCTATAGCAATAGTTGGGAGCATGAAGTAGCCAAGCCATTGGCAGCTGCCAGGGTATTAACTGTGGTGTGGTCTAGATCCGTTCTGAGTAGGACAGAAGAACATGGTGATTTTGTTTTAATGCTGTCATTGGTGTGTGGTAGTGCTCCCCCATCGATGCTAATAATGGAGCAGGAATAGTAGTCGTAACAATGGGAAATATAGGGGCAAAAAGTATAATGTGGAAACAGTATGCATCGTCCCACATAGGTGTATCTCTATGCCTGGTTAAAATTCGACTCAACAGATGCCCACTGACTTTGTTGGGCTTAGATTAGACCCTGATTCAATCGGAAGTGATGCAAATTATTAACATTTCAATGAGCAATTTTTACATAACAGAACCAGAATCCATAAAACAAAATGCTTACGTCTATTTAAACAATCTGCACTTAAAATTCAGTAGTCTTTCAAAAATTAAATTGTCACAAGATTAGAGTCTCCTGCTTCACAATGAATTGATAGAATGTATTTATGGAAAATAGGTTTTATGTGCATTGTCCTCTAATAAAAATATAGTAAACAATCCTCCTGTACAATCTATTCCAATCTGTTTTAGTAGGGCATAGTGTTTCTTAGAATCAGTGATAAAACTTTTTGAACTTACTTTTAATTTTAATTCAATAGTTATGTTATTCAATTCACTAACAGTGGTTCAAAAGTCAATTTGAATAAACATAACCTACAATTCCTTCCTCCCAAATTTTCAAGAGACTTAATCACACTAAGATTAAAAAAATAACTTTATTACTTTTATTACAATTTTATAAAATGAGTCATATTGCCAATAATCTAATGAGTCTTTGATCTATTATCTTTCAGCTATGCCTCCTGCCCTATGAAATCATGACCAAAACCTTGAATGAAAGTATTGTGATTAATCTAGGACAGATTTACTAGGTCTTTTAAATAGTCAGTGAGGATGGCTGACTGACTATTAGATAAGGCCTCAGAATTCTTAGCATTACCTAAAGTATAAATTAAAAAGCTATATTTTCCAAAGACTTTCATTACATTTCATACTTTGCCTGCTGTGCGCAGTACCTAATTAAAGAGTACTGGTCTTATGTGCCCCTTTGAAGCAAATTAACACTTCCTATGAACTTTGTTCTTTTGTGAAGAAGTAATAATGAGTAAAGTAGATTCTAAAGTTTCTCTCATTTTATTAGTAGTGAAGTCAATGCCCATTACATTTGCTTATGATATGTGTAACTACTAGCTTTTCTGCCATTGTTTACAAAACAGGTCTATTTCATGAGCCCCTAAATTGGGGTTGGAGTGCATGTAACATGCACATGGTATTCTGTGAGATAGTTTGCTCACTTTTGCTGAGTAACTTGTTTTTCTTTAAGTGCCATACTTTCTATTTGCATTTGAATCTAAAATTTTAAACTGATTCGATTGCCAAGCTTTAAGGGCCCAATCGAAGCATGTTTAAGTTAATGGAACAAATGCCATTGACTCGGATGCACTTTGGATCTACCCTAAATCTTGTGAACAGGACGAAGCGTAAGTTGCATGCATATTTTAAGTGATCTCACTCCTTAGCAGATTAAATAAGGCTTTATTTTTGATCAAGAACTTAATGTTTTGGTCCCATGCTACATCATTTGTTGTTTTTTATAAGTAAGCCTATAGGGTGCAGAGAAGGTGAGCTCATAATGTAAAGCAGTAACTGTTCTCCGTTAGAGAACAGAACAGATATAGGAGTAAATTTGGTGATGTTCAGCTAGCTCCTGCCAAAAATATCAATCTGTTATAAAAGTGTCTGCTAAGAAGCGATCTATGAATGACACTGGGTGTTTATAGAGCTGTGCTGTATGTGGGAGTAAAGCTTACACAACAGGTTCCACATTGTGTACTATCAGTTGCTTATGATGAACATAAAATGTATCCTCTTGGAGCAGAGCAATTATCCATCTAGTCCTCTACTCTGTTTCCAACAGGGGCCAGTAAGCAGGATTCAGAGGAAAGTGCAAGAAACCCTGAAGCAGGCATGCGGGGAAATAATATGCCCACAGGAGAAGTTTTGATCTCTCTGCCAGTTTTCCAACAGTGCACTGGGGTTTAATATACATACTGACCTCAAAGGGTAGATGTTAGAATAAACAGTTAAGGATTTTTATAATGCCTTGAGAAAGAAAAATGCTATGTAACTGTAGTTTCCCCATGGCTTTTACACTGTCCCGGGGGGAAAGAGCAATTCAGTTTTCAAGTACAATCAAAATCGTCGATAATTAAAATCATATAAATAGCTTTCTAGGTCTTTTTAATCCCTTTGCGACCAGGTGACCCTGATTTTCTTTTCCCTTTCCTTTCGAGCTTGTCCCTGACTCAGTTGTGAAATAGTGGGAAAGCAGAAGTGTCCATCTAGCTTTGAACCTGATACCTGCAGTGGAGTTACAAGGTTAAACAAATGAGGTGGATTTTCCTTTTCTAATCCTGTCTTTTTCTCAGTCCCACCTGAAGATTTGAAGGAAGATGCGAGCAATGTTTTGCTTCTCCCTTGTATTGCAGATAGGGGGAGGAGATGGTTATTAAAGGGAAGCCCCCCTTTGCTATTTCTCCCTCTTTCTAGCTGATAACACTTATCTCTCGCTCGCTCGCTCTCCTCCTAGGTGATCCATTTCTAGGCAACGTGCTGGCTGGTGCTGGAGCTGCCAGCTCTGTCTGCATCCCACCAGCAAAGCAATCTCTAAAGCATCCTGCGGACCATCAGCTGCTTTCCTCTGCTTTGCTTCAGGCACCGCTTCTGTCTCCTGTCCTGTCCAACCGCTACCTTGCGCGACAGCACAGCACGCTGGGCTTGATTTGCAGATTTCTCCACCAGTTGTGGGAAGCAATTTTTAAGCAGGGGGTGGGGGAAAATCTCTGCATTACTATCTGCATTACCTTGAAGTTCACTTTGTTTTTGGCCTAGGGGGTTGCTTTTCCTGCAGGAATCTGGCTTCTAAACCCGGGATCTCCTCTGTGCTTGATTCCCCGCGTCTCCTTCCTTACTGAAGGCGAGGGTTGTTTTTTTTGCCGTTTGGGGCTCTGTGGCCAAGCGGTGTGTGTGTGTGTGTGTGTGTCTGGGTGCGTGCGCGCGGTGTGTGTGGTGGGTTGGAAGTTGTTGTGCAGGAGCCGGGACTGAGCGGATCCCTGGACCCTGCGGAAGGATGGAGACGGTCTGACAAACGGAGGCGCCTGCTGCCCGGAGAAGCGATCGGGCTGGATGGATTGGCTGCCCGAGCCAACAGCAGCGCCGGTCGTTATGCCCGGAAGCCCCCCGGAGTGACGCGGGGCTCTTGCAAAGGAGAGGGACGCCCCAGACCCTGGGCTGTCGCCCTCACCTCTCAGCAGCGGCACGCAGGCAATCGGGATCTAAACCCTGTCCTGGCACCTCCAACTCCTGGGCTCGCTGCGCTGCGTTGTCACTCTCCGCCCCCCCGCCGCTGCTCAGAAAAAACTCACCCCCGGGAGGACATGGAAGTTTTCTCCCTCCTCTTGGTTGTGTCCGTCTGTTGGACTCGAACCTGGGACGCGGCGATTGCGGATTCAATCATACACATAGGTAAGGGGGCTGCTGACTTTCCCAGCTCGCCTGGGCGACCCGCTCTTTTGGCCTCCTGTCCCTTGTGCCTCCCCCCCCCCCCACTGCTCCCTCGAGCCTCGCCCCGGGGG